TCTTAAACATAGAAGTGAAAAGTAATTTATCTATAAAGTTGCTTGGAAATCATTAATGACTCCTACTTTTCGTCTCAAACAAAGGATTCGTTATTGGGAGTCTATTACTACGAGGATTTCAAAGTATTAATATTGTCAATAGTTACACCCGGGATGTTATATTATCAACTTGTGGATTTAAAAGACAAACAGTAACTTGTCCTTTTGTTAATGGAATGTTCATCACTCCCATTATGGTGGTACTCTCTCGAAGCATGGCATGTTATGGAAAAGCAGCTAAGAGAAGAAAAAGAAATTGTGTAAAAAACTTATATCAACAAAAAACAAACCGTAGGAAAAAAACAATAAAAGCAATTCAGAAATGCGTTGACAATGAAAAGAATCAAAGAGACGGAGTAGGATAGCAATAATGAATGAAGAAGGCTAAAAAGAAGATGCTTGGTTTGTCATCATTCAGGTAGTTGAATCTCTACTTGGGTTTTGTTACAATTATATACAATTGTAAACTGTAAAGTTCCTTAAAATCATTCCCAAAAAAGAAATCCACCATATTGAACTTAGTTTAGATATACTTTCCACTTTTGTGTAGTCTCCATCGTTATCCTTTTGGAGTTCTCCCGAAAACTTTATAGATAAATTACTTTTCACTTCTATGTTTAAGAATAATACATCTCACTATTTGGAAAGAAAGAAAAAAGCTAGAAGATCCGTATTATGCAAAAAAAAAAACTATGCATTTGGAGCAAGCTACAATGAACAATGATATGTCAACCCTTTAGCTTTAATACTGCTGACTAAGGAAGGATACCGGCTCTCTAACCTTCGATGGTGGTTGCAACCCCTACAGTAAGTAATTGCAGCAGGTGTCATTATTGCTGTATTTATTGACGAGTCTATTATTGAGTCTATTAAAAAAAGCAATGTGCAATATTAAATTAGAATGTAGGAATTTAACAAATCTCCAAATATGTAAATTAATGTTTTCTAGTAAGACTTACTTGAAGTTGTCTACTTGACCTACTCAAAAGCTTTTGTACCCTTGAACGTTTGTTTTTAGGTGGTGACTTTTGGCCCTACAGAACTAATTGAATTTTTGGATTCTGCACTTCCAGATGGTTTATTTAATGGAAAATTAATTAATAAATTTATGTTATCATTGATTGATTATGAACTATAAAAGCGGGCACTGTTTATTAAATGAAATATTTGGTTTAAAGATGCCAAGAGCATAACCAAGATGTTAATTAGTGTTCTGTTATGTCAATCATTTTAATTCACAATATACTACTTCTATGTACTGACAATTTTACTATTCGAGTAAAAAAATTAGAAACCTATAAAAGTTTGCCTAAACTGCTAAATCTCGGCAAATTAAAAAATTTAGTTTCGATTTCAAGCAAGCAAAATGCCGAAATTTTAGGCATAATTATTTTTGATAAAATGTGTAAGCCTTTTGTGTAACTAATGATTCACAAAGCATATTACTTTACCATTAATTAATGTTAGTATTGGCATTAATTATTGGTTGTATATTAACATTAACAATTTAATAATGATCAAAATGATTTAATTTTAATAATTAAACCCGTCTATTATATAGAAGTTTGCCTAATTACTAAATTTCAGCAAATGCCGAAACTAAATCTATATAGCATAATTGGTAATAATTTCATCGATTATAGAGATTTTATCACGGGAAAATTTTTTTGTTAAACATAAATTTATAAATGCGCACATTCAAATAATAAAAATAATAATAAAAATCTTTTTCCTTTCTTTATTTAAAGATAAAGATATTATCCTGCCCTTAAACTAATCAAAATTGTCGAAAAGAAATCATTTTTTATGTTATAAAATTTTTTTGGAGAGAATCATCTACAAATTACAAAATTGAAAATGAAGGTGTGAGAAGTATCTTCCTAAATATATTATCAATTTATCAATAAAGCTAAGCAAATGCATTCTTTCAGATTTGGAAATCATAGACTTAGATTAAGAAGATAATGAAGATTTTCAGATTTGGAAATTCAACTAGTGCATTTTTCAACGACACCAAAATCTGCCAAAGCAAACACCTCACCAAACTTACCCTTTGTCGATACTAATGTAACCAAAGAATTATAACACCTTCTACATAATAATAATATTAAATGTTTTGCAATAATAATAAAATTTCTTATATTTTAACAATAATTAATTTGTTTCAAAAGAAAATGTCTCATCATCATAAAATAGTTTCAACAAAAATTGAAGTTTCGGCACAGTGATTAAGTTTCGGCAAAGTAACTGAGTTTCGAACTATTAGTTCCTATAACCTGTTTTTTCCTGAGTTTTGGCATAATCACAATTTAGTTTAGGCAAACTTCTATATAGAAACCGATAACAATTAATTACATTCTCATAATTATTATTAATAAATTGAACAGTATTAATGTTATTTCTATTATTTATATTAAGTATAAAACTTTCAGTTGTATTTTATAAGTGTATCTTTCACTCCAATCAAGTGGATTATAGCCACTAGTTATTTGTTCCGAATTTTGTATTTTACAAGAGTTTTGTGATATTATCTCATTTTTGGTGGTGAAATAGTTTCATTAAGCTTATATTTGAATAAAATATATGGCAAAAATTTTCATCAATCTAACTTGCAAAAAAACAAGTGTATAAGATTCTCAATGATTCAAAGTTCTGGATTTTGCTTTTTGGGTTTATTGATAGTTATAAATTTAATCTTTGTTGCTTATCAAAAAGTAAATAATAATCCAAAAGATAATCATTTTAGGAAAAAGTTTCACATTAATGTACGAGAGTTTCTGGATCCTACATATCAATATGCCTGCATCATTTCCAAGTTCTAATTTCTTTCATATTCACCGGCACAAAATGTTTACCTCGATTTGTCATATTCCATTTAGGATAATTTGGGCTCTCCTCATTTTTATGCTTTTTGTATATTGTAATTCGTATTTATCGAGCTATTCCTTTCTTTCTCTTTGAATTCTTGCTTGATAATTTGGATGCCTCTAACTTCGATTTCTTTGATTTCCTTTATCATTTCATTGAGCCTTGGTTCTGTGCGAAATTTACTTTTAGGTCTATAATTCACTTTCTTTGGCCCATTGTATCAAGGAATTATGCACTTTCTCCATTTCACTCTTCTGTTTAGCATATTTTCAGGTTGCAAGGGCTTGACTTTGGATTTCTTTGGCTGGGTGCTTCAGGTCTATTAAATTTGAATTGTCACTTCCTAGCAATGGGATTCTGAGCTCACTGTTATTTACTCAATTCTATACATGCAACCCAAATTGGTTTGGTGATTTCGATGGTCAAAATTATTCCAATTTTGATGGTAGAAAGTAGAAAATAATTACATCACTCACTATTAAGATAATAAGTGTAGCACCCCTTTACAACATGTGTAATCCTTTTATGACAGTGTCAAAATACTTTGGGCTGTATGTATACTCAATTCATCCTGCTCCTCTGCTAGATCTCCTTTTTGAAGGGATTTGCACTATCATCAAGGCTCGAAACTATCTTGCTCTTATATATGCATCATTTTGCCTTTTGATTTATATCAATTGCTGAAAAGTTCCATTCGAAATTTTTATTTGACCTACCTTATTCCTGATTATCTTTAATTCGAAATTTTGGTCGTGATATCTTGCTCTAGAGGATCATCTTAAATAAGCTTTCCATGTTCTTCGGGCAATGGACCTGCAGACTTTTTTTGTTTGGTTTGCTATGCGGGCTTCAGTCACTTTGCACCTTTCCCCTTATTTTTTGTATAGAAAACTATGCAAGCATGCAGTTTTAAGGTCTCTTTTTGGTTATAAACTTCTGAAATTGAAATTGATTTGTGCGTGTGACTATGATTGATGATCAAATTTTTTTAAAAGAAATGGATTCAACAATCTTTGAAAGTTATTTTAATGAAAACGAAAGATTGCTAAACACAGAAGATTTATATGATGTAAAAATATATGTTGACGCAGAACCAAACATTAAAGAAGTTCATGCACATGCATCTATCATATCAGCTCATTGTCCATTCTTTAGCAATGCATTAAGTAATGCAACAAAAGAAAATGGATATTATATATTAAGAAAGTTAATATTAGTGAAAAATGTTTCAATCCTATTCTCAAGTAAGTTTAAATAAATTTATTATTATATTGAATTGTTTATTTGAATGTATATTATAATAATAATAATCTGTTTAATAATTTCTTTATTTAAGATTTTTATACACATGTAAATTTGAATTTGAAAATTATTCTGGAGCTGAAGTATTGGGACTATTAACTGCAGCAGA